CCCCAGCCATAGATCTCAAAATCCAAGGTTTGTTTACAAGGGGACAAAATTTCACACTGATCACTTTCCTGCAATTAGTGAAGGGGTTTAATGTCCTTCCTGCTGGGCGCTCAGGCTTTCCACCGGGATAATGTGTTTATGTTTTTGAAAGACCAAAATATACTATCTCCCCCACCTCTCGCCTACAGACCACCCAAGTTTTTCACTCTGTGGGAAAGAGTGTCGGCATAAAATTCCTACTGATAGAATTTTTCCTTCCCCCCCCCCCTCCGGTTGAAGTCATAAAACTGTTCTAGGGAATAAAGGAAAACACAACTTGGTAAAGTAAAAAGTTCACTCAGCCACCAGCCACCAGCATCATCCTTACAAAAGAGAGAGAAGCCAAAGCTTTCAGCTCCTTGACAAGAGATCTGCTGTTTAAAAACAACCTTTCCTCTTCTCGAAAGAGAACATCCCACCCGTGAAATAACGTCCAAATAATACATGAAAGACCATCATCCGAAATCCCAGCTTAAAACAACTAGAGAAGGTCAGGCTTAACCTGAGAGGAGACAGGAAACTCCTGAGTAAAGATGGAAACTTTCTTACTTGATTTCTTCTACCTCTTTACCTGGGTTTGCTGCAAATTATGTAGATAGAAATAGTTACCCCTTTTTTTTTTGAAGAATTTTTATCAGTTTTAATTAAGAAATAATGAAGTTAATTAAGTAAATTAATTAAATATTCATTTTTAATTTCCTGACTTATAACCACCAGTTTCCTGGAGTTGCTTTGGTTTAATTTTGCTATTGAAGACTTGGAACGTAATTCTTTTCTTGCATTTTTTCTTAAGATAATAAATAAATGACAAAAACAGAAATAAAGGGTAATGACCTTATTAAAAATGACACTATGATAATAATGTACATAGCTCTTTCATATTTTAGCTATTATTTTAAGGGATAATGAATTAATATTTACTCTATAGCTTGGGAGACAGAAAAAACACTCAACTGATTTTTCAACCTTTCCCTTTTTAGCATGCCCAGGGGCAGGTTCAGCAAGACTATGAGGTGTACAGATGCCACATATTTACTATAATTGTGTTTTAAAAACCTATTAGAAACATAAATTGTCCCAAAGTCTTATGAGTCATCGTTTTTCAGCAAGATTTACCCCCCCCTGAAAAACAGTTATGGTTTTTCAGGCTCTGATGTTTTGGGGTATTTTGGTTTACTAGAATTGTTTTTCATTAAAGGAGCGCATATGAACTCACACATATTTCTTTCTGTTTTTCCAGGTTGCATCATTCCTTAATTGAGCAGAGTTAACTGGATCAAAGTATTTATGGGAGAGAGAGGGAAAGCTATACCGAATTACAGTAATTTTAATTTCCACAAATATGCTCTTTGTAAGTGAATCACTCTATAAATATTCTCTGTTGCACTGAACACGGCAGCGATAGCAAAATAGTTGCTGAGGTATTTGTTTTTGCATACTCTGACCTCGTAATTATTTCATAGCAGCCAAGTTCACTGATGTTTTTGAGTCTGTCAAGAAAAAAAAACAAAAGTCCTCTACTCAGAAGGAATGACCAGAAACAGTCAGACATTTATTTTCTTGAAATTAAATAAATAAATGGACACTTGCACTTCTCAACTCTTTCTTAAAACTGTAGCACATCTAACCCCTGCATGAAGGTTGAGCTGTGTACAAAATTCATTTTTTCATAGTTTCTAAAAACTATTTTGTTCTCCATAAAGTTTCTATTTGCTATTTTTCTCAGAATTTTACAATGAAAGGGAAATATACTACTTGTTTTCTTTATAATTCTTGAGGGGGAAAAATTCCTCATTACACACTCCTTGGACAATAATGTTTTGGTTTAGTTTTTGAAGAAATCCCACTTACTGAAATTTTGACTGTCTGGAGATTTTGTTTTTTAAAGGGCAGGGGAATTTGTGAAATCCCTCTACGGGTATGAATTGATCATTTATATTAAAATAGACAGTAGAGTTATTCTTGACTCACCAGAATTAAATTTCCTATCTGTACGTTTAACACCATCACTCTTTCTCATAGGAGTTCTACAGAAATCTTCCAAAGGGCCTGCTTTATTTTTTGGATATGAAATGAAGTTTCCTTTTTCTGTGTTTAGGGGACTATTTTGTAACTGTCGTGCACTAAAAAGGTCCAAACCCATTCTGAGCGAGCATCTCTGTGGCCAGCAGCTGTTTAGTTTATACCCCTCGGACTCATGGCACAGCTCTGTGGTCAATCAGGAAGAGGGCTTAAGCTCACAACTGCTTTTGACTTGGTTTTCACATCCATACTTAAAAACTGCATTAACAAAGGACATGAGAAAATTTAAATAAGCTCCCGTTGCTTAATAAAGTATTGGTAAAAAGACAAGCCCGTGTAGAATCCCACTCTCAAAGCATCAGATGCAAGGTCAGCGGGTTGAACTGCCAAATGCATTAGGCTCGTTAATTATTTTGAAAATGGCTGCCATTTCCATGTAAATGATAAGTTTCTTTTTCATGGGCAAGGCTATGGTACTTATCTACTACAAGAAACATGTATAAACATGCCTTTATCTTTAACTTCAGTTTTAAAATATGCAGAGTTTGGGGGAAGAGGGAAAACATCTGGTCCAATTGCTCTGAACTCTGACTGCATATGGGCCAGTAATAACATGAACTGGAGTTAAGAATAAACCTGGTGTTTAATCTTTTTTCGTTTGTTTGTTTTTGCCTTAAAATTTCAATATGAGTTTTCTGTCAAGTCAATTATCCATGTTAGCACATTTGGGAACAAATGTACGAGTGTCCTTTCTGAATAAAGTCAAAAGTCTAACTTGTTTTTAGTTCCATAATGTTTTAATGTTTAATTCTATTGTGTGTTTTTCTCCCTTTCCCCTGACCCTCCAAAAATCACCAAATCTGGAAAACAGACTGTGTCTGCCCCTGAGCAAAGGAAACCCGAAGGAACCAAGGGCCTGGCTGGACGGAGTTGTCATGTGTCTGCCTGTCTACACTTGCTGTGCAGAACATCCGCTCACCTGTACAGCAGGCACAGACAGGCAGTCACATGACAACCCAGCCTGAATGACAACCAGCCGTTGAAAGCAAGCAGCCCTCACACCGTAGCACCTACACCAAGAGCTACAACCAAAATGAGGGGCGGGGGGCCTGGGGTTTTCATCTGTTGGCTTAATACTTAACTCGTATGTATTATTATTATTCTTTTATTTTGATTTAGATATTGAAACCCACCAGAGGTGAAGTGAGTGGTGCCTATGAAATATAATAAAACCCATTTCTGAAAATGCTCCTGTGCTTTCTATAGTTCTCTTTTCCTGATGTTGTCAGTAAATTACCGCCCTTGACATTCACAGTACACAGCTTTGCAGCACCCTGTGCTCAGTATAACGAAACAACAGAACTTCAAGTCTGACTCCTGGCAAAGAATAAGTGATCCTAATAAGTCTGCTCCGAAAACAAAGTTCAGGTTTCTGTATCATGACTGCTTAAGAAAGAGGGACAAAAGAAAAAGAGGGAAGAAATAATATCCCAGGAGATCACGAATCTTGAGTTAAACTCAGCCAGTTTGCACCTGGGTGAAACATACTGAAAAGAGTATCTGTTTCCAACATAATTTTCAAGTGTGTTGAAATAGTTGCTTCTCCTTTTTGGAAGTAGAGAAAGTTAAAATTGAAGCTCTGACATCTCCAAGTGTCGTGATATGCATAGATTTATGACTGTGTCGTCATTTAACTAATCAGGAGTTCACGCTACTGCTCCAAGGGTGGATGGAGCGCATGGGGCCAGTGCGCTCACTTGGAATACACGCCCCACTCACTGCAAACTTCGAAACAACTGAGCTGGTCAGGCAATTCCATTATTGTCAAAAAAAAAAGGCAAGGGTGTGGATTAATGGATATGCGGTGTATATTTTGCCATATCTTTTGAGGAAATGTCAAAACCTCAGTTTACGCCCTGTGAACTGGAGTTAAGTGAGCAGGGTGAAAAGTGGGGGGGGAAGGGGGTAAAATTAGAAATGTGTCTGTTTTGATTCGCTTCACTAAAATGCTTTAACTTCATTATTTAAAATCAATTTTCATTTTTCTTAGAAAGTTTCTGGTCAAGCTTTTAAAAAATGTAGTGCAAGGCTACCCCAAGTTTTTTGGGTTTTAATCTAATCACGCATTTTAAGCATGTGTTTTGGACGAAAGCAAGCTGTTTTTATTCAGATATTTCATTTTTATAATGAAAGATTCTGTCTTAAGGCTAAAAACTCCATGAGATTCAAAATTTCTACAGTTTCATGATATTTTACCAAATCTGACACTATAGTTTCTTTTTTTTAAAAAAAAAAAAAAGTAAAATTATGAAGTAAATATATGATTAAGGCCAAATTCTTCCATTTAACAATCGGGCCTAAGCAAATGTGTCATCTGCAAAGCATGGTGTGCAAAGAAAGTTTTACTTTACAGAAAACTCCCAGGACCAGAACATAAAGTACTAAACAATAGTTCACAAAATGTAAAAAATAAGCAGCAAGGCAATATCAAAATTTCTCACAGAATATTTACATAGTACCACACAATCTGAAATGCCTTCTATCATCTGCAGCAAACGCCAGCAGGAGTCCAGCCGTGGGTCATTCCCCCGCACCCTGCAAGGCAGCCCCAGGGCGTGCGTAGGGCTCTCCGGATGACATGTAGCTGGGTCAGAACATAAAGGAGACTGTTCCATTCCCCCGGACTCCAAAGGGAGCTCAAAGAGGCCAGCGGAGTCATCCTGAAGTGAGCCACTAAGGATAACTTTTCGAATAATTTTCCCTTAAAGCATGAGGTTAACATCTTGGTTTTACATTTTTCTACTTGGCTCTCAAAAAAATATGCTCGAAAAAATGTTATTTATATTGAAGTTCATTATATGATGCACATTTGAAAATGTTACTTTTCTGGGAAAGGGTCATATGAAGGCTAATACTGTTCTTCCAGTATAAACTTTCAAGTAGGACAAGTAACACAGATAGGGGAGTGGGTCTGAGTCTACCAGTATTTTTAATAAATTTTAAATAGCATTTGCCATTACGCTTTGTTGAATAATACTATGGTTTTTAAAATTATAAATCTTTATAGATAATGCTAGAATGTGGAAATGTTTATATGAAATAATCCTACATTTAAAAACCTAACATGAAACAGCTTATGTATGTGGAAAAAACACACATAACTATGATCATGAAGAATTTCAAGTAATATGAATGTTTTAGAGTTCGATATTTGTTGGGACTGGTTTTTGGTAAAAAGATATCTAAGTTTTGGCTTACTCAACAACTCAGAGAGGATTGTGAACAGCACTCACAGGGTTAATCCCGACCTCCTCAGGCAGCAGGCAGACCTGGCGGGAAACAGGCAGGATCTTGGTGGTAAAGGTGAAAATGGAAAGACACAAAGATTTCTATAACTTCTTGTCCTCACAGCTTTGGCCATCCGGGGATATAGCTGTCATTTTGTTTCCTATTACCGAAGTTACATTTGTCATCTGTTACAGCTACGTAATAAAAACAATACTAAGTAAATATCCCTATAAGGGAATTATATAATCTCTTTATCAAGCTATCCAAACACTTCAACCCACAAAAATGAGGCCTGTAATTTTTTTGAGTCCGAAGAATGTTCTTATTTTAATGCAGATTTTGGCCTTTCTTCAACAGTGTATGGTTAGTACATTTCCACTGGAAATGCTTCTGTCGAATTACCCTACTTCTCTATGTGTATTCCATTATCATTTTAACCTTTGTGTTGGACTACAGAAATAGAATAAATATTGGCTATGTGCTATTATTATTCATAAACTAGTAGTCCCCTTCATAGATTTTTAACTATCATTTCTCGCTGATATTTTTAAAAGTAAGGCTCTTTTCTCCTTGATTCAGAATTTCTTATTCTTCCAAAATACATATTTTAGATACATTTTAAAAAATTCATAGCTGTTTTATTTCTAAATCTAATTTTAAAGTATTCATGTAAACTACCAAAACCCAAAATCCTTTTGATGTGACACTTTCTATTTTATTCCCATACCTTGCCCTTTTCTAAATTCCTTCCTGGAACTATGCAAATATATTTATCATGTATGAAAACAACATTGTCAAATTTATTTTCTTCTTAAATGGTCTTCCATCCAGGAAGTCATACAGTTAGAGGAGGAAAAAACCTATTAACCTTCAATGATGAAGATTAAGAAAATTTTAAGACAATTTACCTCTCATGGCAATTTTACTCTGTAATTGAGTAATTTAATTGAGGCACTTGAGATGCCAGGATGTGATGAATTATTATCTCGGTCACATGTTCACAGCTGGTATTTCCTTAGTGCCACCTATCAGTGTCGTGCCCCCTGGTGGCAGAACGGTGAACAAGACAATGGCTCCTGGTTTCAGGAGGCTTACGGGTTAGCAGGAACTCAAACACTCATCCAATACTTAGCACATGTGATGAGTTGTCACACCAGTGTCACCTCCTGAAAAAAAATCTCTTAAATCCATCATTTCTATCCATTTCCATCAGCCTACCCCAGCCCAAGTTACCATTACCTCTTGTGGGGACTAGAGCAATAGCTTTCTAACAATTCCCCAATCCAGCTTTGCTCTCCAAAGTATTCTCTACCAGGCAGCTAAAAGGATCTGCAAAAAATTCAAATCTTACTGTGTGACTCTCCAGCTTTCAAACTTCAAAGGCTTCTCATCATTCTCAGGATCAAAATCCTTAATCTTTATAGAATCCTTAATCTTTATAGAGTCCTTTTTCTCTCTTTGTTTCAGCCATACTGGCCTTAATTCCATTTCTTAAATTCATCAAGTTCAATCTTGCCTCAAGGTATCAACATAAGCCTTCTCTGAACACCCAACTGAACATTCCCCATGCTGGGAACCCCATCCCAGACATTCTTTAAGTCAAACCAATCACTGGATGTATTTCCTTCATAGGTTGTAATCTGCATCTGTTTTCCTGTTTGTTTATGTGTTTTCTCTAATGGGGAAAAAAATCCTTCACAAGGGCAGGTACCATGAATTCCTTGCTAATCATTTGTCTGCCGTGACTAGGAGAGTGTCTGGTACATAACAGCTGCTCAGAAAATATTTGTTCAGAAGTGTTCGGGTGTTAAGAGCACACACTGACTTTTAGCAGCAGACTAAGTTCCACGTTCTCTTTGAGTCTCAATCTTCAACTCTAAAATGGAGAAAGCAAATAAAGTACTAACTTAGCTCAATGCCTGGTAAACTATAAATACTCAATAGACGTTCATCATTATGAGGATGATCATCATCATCGATTACCATTCACACTGAAAGCTGACCTGCACGAGTTTCAGCAGGTAGAATTAATAGTGGAGATGCTATTGACAACCACAATTACTGCTGAATTAGGGAGCATTTTGTTAACTGGAAGTCTGTTACGTTTGGTTGAACATTTGACTAGTTTGGATCTGCAAAGGTGAGCATGTAGGAAGAGTGAATGTACAATAGAGTAAAAAGCACCTTGAGTTTGGGGCATTCCAGATTGACAGCATTGAGGGGAGATATGGGAAGAGAAAGAGGGAAAACAATGCAATGTCCTTGAGCTGGACCAGCACAAGGCTAGAGCTGTCAGTGACACACCCAAGTAGAAGGTCCATTGGTCAAAACTATTGTGCAGAGAGGTATCTAACATCTGTTTGAGGCTGTTTGAACTGCTCTATTTCTTCCCCAAATCCTTAGTAGATATAAATACTACAAATATCCTTATGTTATTATTTTCTTAGAAATCAAAGGAGCTAAGTATCATCATCCACTCCAAACCCAAGAAGATATATGTGGATACACAACCTACATATCTATGCTCTGTCCTCACTCCCTTGGACAGCTCACACACCAGCAAAATGCCCTTGGGAGGGTAAACCCAGCAAGACCAATGCAGCCCCTAGAAATGCACCTCGGGCCACTTGCATAGGAAATTTCAGAATTTGGGGTACTAGAGCATGACATAGAAGGACATCTAGGTTTGGGCAAATCCTCTTGGTGATTAGTTTTAAACTGTCTAATCCTGTAAAAGATGGTCTATTTCTTTTTGTGCCGAAGAAAGCCCCAATCTTAGAGTAATGTCAAGCAAACAGATAATCACGTCTACCACAACTGCATTGTATTATAAAGACTCTGAAGATAACCGTAGAAATAACATTGCTCAGGACACTGGTGGAAACCTTTCTGTTAAGCTCATCCATCAGTAACATTACAAATAACATTATTTTAATGTAGAGTAATGGTTCAAAAAGCACAGTCCACAGATGCTGGAGGGTGTTCGTGAACTCGTCTAAAATTCAAGGGTAGGGTGGGTGGATCTGTTCAGAAGAAGAAGGGAAAATGCTAGGGCTTACTATTACAGTCATGCCAGCTCTAGCTTAAAATTATTACATAGGGTTATTATGTTCTTGCCTCTGCCAGCTTGGCTAGGAAACTGCATAGTTTGATTTCATCTCCACTTCTTGGCTGAAGTGTAGGAGAACCCATAGGCTGAAGGGGAGGTGGCATGGAAAGTCTCGCTGAAGGAATGGGATCTGAGTTTCCTCTTATTGTTTGAAACTTAATATTCTCTGCTTAAAAAACAAACAAACACAAGACCCCCTATGCCCTATGTCACAATATGAGATGACAAAAAATTAAAAATTAGAAGACATGAGTCAAAGAGTGGCATCACGGAGGGAAGGCATAGTCTTACTTGCAATGGCAAAAATAAATATATAGCCCCAGCTGGTTTTACTCAGTGGTTAGAGCTTTGGCCCATGGACTGAAGGGTCTTGGGTTCAACTCTGGTCAAGGGCAAGTACCTAGGTTGCCGGCTTGATCCCTGGCCCCAGTCGGGGCATGTGCAGGAGGCAACCAATCAATGTGTCTCTCTCACATCAATGCTTCCCTCTCTCTCCCCACTTCCACTCTCTCTGAAAAGCAATGGAAAAAATATCCTCAGGTGAGGATTCAAAATATAAATAAATAAATAAATAAATAAATAAATAAATAAATACCTAGAAGTCTATTTAAGCACTTAATAATATATGATTTCTAGAGTCCTATAAAATCCCTTTGGGGTGGTTTAGTTGGCCATGGTTCCCATTTGGTAAGTGAAAAGACTGAGGCTCAGAGAAGAGTGACTAGCTCCAACCCTGGCAGTTAGTCCCAGCAAACCCACATCCTCCAGCACCTCCCCCTTTTCAGCGCACGGAGCATGTGGTCTATAAGGTCTTTTGTTCAATTAATGTCAGCCTGGAGGACAGTCTGAGCCATTGTTCTTTCATCACAAATATATTTCGCAAGTCGTTTGTATTTATTACAAACCTGTCACAAGTTAAATAAAACCATATCTAGTCATATGACGCAATATGCTATTTATTCAACAGCCACTTCGATTATAATGAAAACATACCAGTCTAATTACACGAGAAAGCAGGAGGAGGGCAGAACACAGGAAAAAAATATCACAATCCCCTGTGAAAATGTGAATGTAGTTATCACTGAGTAAATGAGCCAATCTATAAATAACTTAATGATATTTACTGTGCCGCATTTGCTTGACTAAGAAAGAGAAATGGTCAAGTAACAGGATTTCCAAGGCATGAGGGTGCCAATGTGGGTAGAGACAGATACCATGGGGACAAAGGACAAGCACTCAACTTACAACAAATTGACCTCAGAAGCTGGGTTCAAGCTGAGGCTTATTTTCACAAAGAAATAGTCTAAACTTGGGTTTTCTGAGGTTGCTCACAGAAGCATGTCCCATTCATATGTAGCTGAACTCAGGCAGCAAGAGCTTTATGGAACCTATGCATTATTTAAACCATGGCTGTTGAAGCATGGGCGCTTGGGTGCAAACTCAAGAGGCCAGAGATGAATCAGCGCCTCTGAGCCCCACCCTCCTGACACTTCTCCTTGACCTCCTTTCCCCATACCCTCCTTCCAACATCGGCCCCCAGCACACACTAAAGACTACTTGTTGAACACTAGCAATAAGTAAGGGACAAGGCTGCCCCCTTCCTTTCGCCCTGCGAGCAGGCTCAGAGGTGGTCTGCAGTGTCGGAAGCTCCGACAGAGAAAGAGCAGGGTAGGGGACACCTGGGATGGGGGCCGGGGAGGTGGGAACGAATGAATGAAGGCTCCGGTGGGAAAAGGCTCTGTCCCACTGACACAGACACTGGAGAAGGGTCATTCGTGAGTCAGGCATTAATATTTTGAAGACTTTCTATCTTCTTTCTCCAGCAGAGTTTTTAATGGTCGGCAGTGTAGCTATAGGTGGCCCTTCAAATTGCTACCCTGAGCTTGAGAGTTCCTCTCATGCCACCGAGGACATGTCACCACCTTCTCTCGCCTGGACCACTGTCACAGTCTCCTAGCTGGCCTTCCTTCTCTTCTTGCCATCCCGCACCCCATGCCCAGCTCAGCAGCCTCTTCTATCTGCCCACCCCCCTTCCCCTCCGTTGTCTGTGTCTGTGTGCTGGGTTTTATTTTTTTGCCTAATCCTTCACCTTTTTCAGCCAGCCCCCCAAACCCTCCTCCCCTCTGACAGCTCAATCTGTTCTCTGTGCGCTTTGAACACTGCGGACTACACGGAATGACAGGGACATCTAAGCTGCCAGCACAGGAAAGTGACCAGTGCTAGTCCTCAGACTCTCCCAACAACCGATTCCACATTTGACTGAAGTCAGTAAAATATACGGCATAAAAACTGAAAATAAAGCTTTGGAGTAGAAATTTTCTCTGGACCTTTCTATAGGATTTGCTATCTCTTAATGCAGAAAATTCAGGGGAAATCACCTGATCATCTGATATTTATTTAACACACAAGGCACTTAGGAAACAGAAAAACTATATAAGACATGAAGTTTTTCTTCCAACAACTGAGAAAGATACCTTGTAGTGTTTTTAAAGGATATGAAGCCAAGATTAGAAGGACTATTATGTCTGAAATGCATGCTCTTTATAGCCAAATAAATGTGAGACAGTCTCACCTGCAAATAGCTCGTCTATCATGGACTTGTTTTCTTATTGAATGTTTGCATGCTGCATTATAATAAGAGTCAAATATGTCTCGGGTCAGACCAGAGCTGTTAAATTTTCCAAAACAGAGCTGAATTTCCATCCATGCCCTCCCAAATTGAGCAGTAGTAACACTGTATCACTCTACAGCTCTTTAATGGCTCTGCAAGAACAATATGATATATATTTTTTGTACTTTCATAGCTATCAGGTTTAAATGAGTTGTAAGTCACAGGACCAAAATTATTATTATTATTTTTCAGGACCAAAATTATTAACATCAAACATGAACCAGAACACCACCATTATCATAATTCATGCTTTTACATAGATATCAAATTCTCTAAGAACAAAATTCATATAAACAATTATCAGGGACTTGAAGATGAGTGATTTGGACATTTTCAAAACACTGTCATTTGAGACCGATGTCGCAGCAACAATTCCAAAATGCTTTATTAACTCAGCATCGGCTATTAATTTTGCTGTTATAATGCTCTATTACCATGAGTCTTTTCAGCATGTTACTTAATAAAAATTGCTTTCACTGTATCAGTACCTTGTCATTATTACAAAGAAAGAGTTTCCAACTATTGACTCCTAACTCCATTTCTTCAGGTAAACAAACGTGACTACACCAAAGAAGTAAAAGAAATTTGAGGGGAATATTATAAAATTAAAGATCTGGGGGGGG